CAGCTCTTGCTAAAACAGTAGCGCAGCAATACGTTACCTGTTGACAGCACAATGCAAAGCAAGGCCCCTCTGTGCCTCCTGGCATACAAGCCTACGGAGCGGCTCCTTTTGAAGATCTTCAAGTGGACTTCACAGAGATGCCTAAATGTGGAGGTAACAAGTATTTACTGGTTCTAGTGTGTACTTACTCTGGGTGGGTGGAGGCTTATCCAACACAAACTGAAAAAGCTCGTGAAGTAACCCATGTGCCTCTTTGAGATCTCATCCCTAGATTCGGACTGCCTCTACGAATCGGCTCAGATAATGGGCCAGCAGTTGTGGTTGACTTGGTACAGAAGATGGCAACAAGGCCGGGCGCGGTGGCTCAAGCCTGTAATCCCAGCACTTTGGGAGGCCGAGACGGGTGGATCACGAGGTCAGGAGATCGAGACTATCCTGGTGAACACAGTGAAACCCCGTCTCTACTAAAACTACAAAAAACTAGCCGGGCGAGGTGGCGGGCGCCTGTAGTCCCAGCTACTCGGGAGGCTGAGGCAGGAGAATGGCGTGAACCCGGGAGGCAGAGCTTGCAGTGAGCTGAGATCAGGCCACTGCACTCCAGCCTGGGCGACAGAGCGAGACTCCGTCTCAAAAAAAAAAAAAAAAACAAGATGGCAACAAGTAGTTGAAGATATAAAAATATAACAAAACTGGCACATGTACCCGTGCAAGTGTGGCACGGATTTAATCCGGGAGCCATGTTTGGAAATTGGTTCGTGGCAATAGGAGGATTTAAAACTCTTATAATAGGAGTAATAATAATAATAGGAACCTGCTTACTGCTCCCTTGTTTGCTACCTGTACTTCTCCAAATGATAAAAAGCTTCGTCGCTACCTTAGTTCACCAGAATGCTTCAGCACGAACATACTATATGAACCACTATCAGTCTATTGCACAGGAAGGCATAAGTAGTGAGAATGAAAGTGAGAACTCTCACTAATAAAATGAGTGAAAGTCTCAAAGGGGTAAATGAGGGAAGAGAGACCCTCTCACACTGTTTTATATTGTTTTATACTCAGTACCTGTTTTAAGAAAAAAAAACAAGGAAGTGAAACCAAAGGCTGGCAGCCTGGCACTAGGCACCAGAGCCGAAACCAGGCCAGGGCCAGCCTGGCCCAAACCTAGTGGTTAAAAATCAGCTTATGACTTAGCAACCTATGTTATCCATAGATTCCAGACATTGTATGGAAAAACACTGTGAAACTCCCTGCTCTGTTCTGTTTCACTCTGACTACCGGTGCATGAAGCCCCTGTCACACACCCCCTAGATTAATCAATCACAACCCTTTCATGTGAAATCTTTAGTGTTGTGAGCCCTTAAAAGGGACAGAAATTGTGCATTTGGGGAGCTCAGATTTTAAGACGGTAGCTTCCTGATGCTCCCAGCTGAATAAAGCCCTTCCTTCTACAACTTGGTGTCTGAGGGGTTCTGTCTGCGGCTCGTCCTGCTACAATTTATCTCTTAATTAAATCCCACATTGACTTAAAGCATACAGAATTGAAAATTGTCTGAAATTACAATACACAGGTAAAACCAAAAAACACAATAAACTGATTTTAAGAAACCTACACTGAAGAAATACACTAATATGTAACTGGAAAACAATAATAACAGAAATGTTAGGCCGGGCGCGGTGGCTCAAGCCTGTAATCCCAGCACTTTGGGAGGCCGAGGCGGGCGGATCACAAGGTCAGGAGATCGAGACCACAGTGAAACCCCGTCTCTACTAAAAATACAAAAAATTAGCCGGGCGCGGTGGCGGGCGCCTGTAGTCCCAGCTACTCAGGAGGCTGAGGCAGGAGAATGGCGGGAACCCGGGAGGCGGAGCTTGCAGTGAGCCGAGATCGCGCCACTGCACTCCAGCCTGGGCAACAGCGTGAGACTCTGTCTCAAAAAAAAAAAAAAAAAAAAAAAAAAATAACAGAAATGTTTACCCATAAAATCTGGTATGCAAGGCCAGGCACAGTGGCTCACGCCTGTAATCCCAGCACTTTCGGAGGCCAAGGCAGGTGGATCACCTGAGGTCAGAAATTCAAGACCAGCCTGACCAATATGATGAAACCCCGTCTCTGCTAAAAATACAAAAATTAGCTGGGCACGATGGCAAATGACTATAATCCCAGCTACTCAGTCCTGAGACAGGAGAATCGCTGGAACCTGGAGGGGCGGAGGTTGCAGTGAGTCAAGATCATGCAATTGCACTTCAGCCTGGGCAAAAAGAGCAAAACTCCGTTTAAAAAAAAAAAAATCTGGTATGGAACACTGATGCACCATTAAAGAAGAATTTGTTTAGATAACTACAATATTTGACTGTAGCTTTGTACTTCTGAATCATTGGCATGAACTGTACAGCAGTAAAATTTTAGAGAAAACACAGTATAATCATAAATACAAGATTCTGATAAACTTTTAATAAACATTTAAAAGAAACTAGATAATTTTTATATTTTAAGTAGATGCTATACTTACAAAAAATGAAACTGCTGTAATCCAACTTTAGAGGCAAAACTGAATTACATATTTTTTATATATATATTTATATACGGCAAAATACGGTTAGAGCCTCTGATATATAAAACAAATATCTGGGAATAAATTATATTATTTAGATATAGGGTAGAAAAGTAGGTACAAATCCTATCGTTCTCTTTTACCTACAGCAAACTTAAATTTATAAGTAACTATATTAGTAAATATGGAGTGCTTACTAATTATCTAATTTACTTCAGACATAACATGTAAATTCTAGTATAACTGTCCTAAATGTCTGAATCCAAAATTACAGACAAATTTGGAAATAAAAAATAGAAACTGGGCCAGGCACAGTGGCTCATGCCTATAATCCCAGCATTTTGAGAGACGGAGATGGGTGGATCATTTGAGGTCAGAAGTTTTAGACCAATCTTACCAACATGGTGAAAGCCTATCTCTACTTAAAATACAAAAAAATTAGCCAGGTGTGATGGGGGACACCCGTAACCTCAGCTACTTGGGAGGCTGAGGCAGGAGAATCAGTTGAAACTGGGAAGTGGAGGTTGCAATGAGCTGAGATTATGCCATTGCACTCCAGCCTGGGCGACAGAGAGAGACTCTGACTCAAAAAAAAAAAAAAAAAAAAAAAGAAAAAGAAAATACAAACTAAAAACTAAAAATGTATAGGGAGAGTAACAACAGTAAGATGGAAAAATAAAAGGTGCCCTACTTGCTTATCACTGCAGAGCAAGAAAATCTGTCAGCCATCCTAGACAAAAATGCCTTTATGAGAGCCAGGCATCATGGCTCACACTTGAAATGACAGCTATATGGTACATTGAGGTAGGAGAATTGCTTCAGGCGAGGATTTTAAGATCAGGCTGGGTTATGTAGCAAGACCCCCTCTCAAAAATAATTTCCTTTAAAAGAGTTTTGAGATCCAGGGAGGCAGCTGTAAAACTCTCATAAAGCCCAAGATTAAGGAGTTTTCTTTTTCAGAAGGCAGGCTCTCATTCAGGTGGCAAACTACAGGACCCCTGTTCTTAACTACAGGCCAGAAAATGGCCCACCCAGCTTGGTCCCACAGAAAATTCTGAACTTACTCTGTAACCATCCCAAACTGCTTCCAGCCACAGTCTGGGAGAGGTCCTGTTCTTCAAAAGGCCTGGAGGAAGATACTGGTTTATAGCCATGCAGACCTTTACTGTGGACCCTGAAGCAGTTCAGTGACTGTTCCAGCTCCCTAAGCCACGGTTTATGGCCAGTTCTGCCTAATTAGAAACCCACACAGTTACCTGGGGAAATCCTCTCTGATACTCAGTGAAAGCCACACTCATCCACATCCTAATATAAAGCCCACCATATGCAGACCCGACTACAAAAACCTGCCCTAGTGTCTGCCCTACAGACGAAAGTCCTGAAGGATATTTACTCTGTCCAAAAATAAAATGGAAATTACAACTACCCAAGCTCCTTGTAACAAGCCAACTAAAGGTGGACGCTAGTGCAGACCCACCAGCCTTGTTACCAAGCTATGACCCCTCTCCACTACAGGCCAGGCATGGTGGCTCATGCCTGTAATCCCAACAATTTGGGAGGCTGAGGCAGACAGATCACCTGAGGTCAGGAGTTTGAGACCAATCTGGCCAAACACAGTGAAACCCTGTCTCTACTAAAAACACAAAAATTAGCCAGGTGTGGTGGCACGCGCCTGTAATCCCATCTACTTGGGAGACTGAGACAGGAGGCAGAGGTTGCAGTGAGCCAAGATCGTGCCACTGCACTCCAGCTTGGGCGACAGAGCAAGACTCTGTCTTTAAAAAAAAAAAAGCCATGGTATCCAAAGTGATCTATAAATTTAATAAACTTTCTATCAAAATTCTAGTGGGATTTTTTTTCACAGTAATGCAGTAATGGACAATGCAATTCTAAAATATACATGGAACTAGAATAAACTTTGAACAAAGCAAACTTGAGGAAAAAGAACAAAGCAAAGAAACACCATAATTCATAATTTCAAATTATTTAAAGGCTATAGTAATAAAACAGGATGAATTGTGCAGAAAATATACAAAGAAATCCAATGGAACAGAAAGCACTTCTCACGTATTTCAGACATGAAGCAAAGAAATAACTTAAAAAACAGTTTAATATAGAGTTTCTCAAAAGCATACAGATACTTGTGTGTCCCCCAAAAGAATGGAAAAGCAGTCAGACTGTGCAGTCTCTTAAATGTCATGAAGAGGACTTTGGCTCTCATGGTAAACTTGAAGGAAGATCACCAAAGGGAAATAAGAATCCTGAGAGAATTTAAAAGCATAAGACAGAAGATGCCCCTATGTGAAAGCAAAATGAAAAAACTCAGGCTTCCCAGAAATTGTTTCCTTTGGAACACAGCTTCCCAAGTCACATTTTAAGGACTGGCTTTCCCCTTAACTTTTGGACCTATCATCTGTGTTTGTTGTATTCACTTTCACTTTCACCTACCTGAGGGTTTGGCTACCATTTCATGTCTCCTCATAGGCTCCCAAGGCTCTTTTTCTTGCTCCAGACAGGTGATCAGGTCTGGTTTAGAGACAGCAATACCTGTTTCAATAAAAAATAAATTACATGAATCTTGCTCATATTCTCCAATTATTCACCTAGCAATGTGTCCAGTATGAAGGGTGTGATAGAATATCCTAATCATTAATCCCAAAATACTAATTTTTCTTTGGAGATGGAGTCTCAATCTGTCACCAAGGTTGGAGTACAGTGGTGTGATCTCGGCTCACTGCAATCTCCATCTCCGGGGTTCAAGCAATTCCAATGCCTCAGCCTCCCAAGTAGCTGGGATTACAGGTGTGTGCCACCATGCCTGATCAATTTTTGTATTTTTAGTAGCGACAGGGTTTTGCCATGTTGGTCAGGTTGGTCTCAAACTCCTGACCTCAGGGTGATCTGCCTGCCTTGGACTACCAAAGTGCTGGGATTACAGGTATGAGCCACCGTACCTGGCCCCAAAATACTAATTATTAACAAAAATTTCTTTTTGTTTGAGACAGAGTCTCACTCTGTTGCCCAGACTGGAGTGCAGTGGCACAATCTCGGCTCACTGCAACCTCCACCTCTCGGGTTCAAGCCATTCTCCTGCCTCAGGCTCCTGAGTAGCTGGGATTACCGGCATGAACCACCACACCTGGCTAATTTTTGCATTTTTAGTAAAGATGGGGTTTTGCCATGTTGGTCAGGATGATCTGCCTGCCTCGGCCTCCCAGAGTACTGGGATTACAGGAGTGAGGTACCATGCCTGGCCTTTAACAAAAATTTCTAAATATTTAGAAAATATCTTATTTTGTATTTCACTACCTGGTAATACTGAATCAAAAATTAGTGTTGGCAATTAGATTTTAAGTTGTGGGCAAAAATATTTTATGCCACTTAATTTCTGGAATTACTACTATTCTGGAGTGAAAGATACAGATCAGCTCAGAAATGTGGAAAGTTCAGGTCAAGATGAAATATCTTGAAAAAAATTATTTAGTGCACCAACAAATCCCCCCAGTTTTTTTGAAAACAGGAATCTGAAACTCATGTATGCAAAGTACAAATTACCAAAAAACAGTCTACAGAAAAAAAAAATGAAAGATTTAGGGTGTATTAGGATTGAGTATTGAAGTTATGCTCACCCAGGAAGACCAGGTTTCTGTAGTTCTCTAACATCACATTCCTATATAAATTCTGCTGTGCAGTGTCCAGGCATTGCCACTCCTCCAGACAGAATTCTATGGCCACATCCATAAATGTCAATGGTCCCTAAAAAAACACACACACACACACTCACATTTACCAAGTGGCCACTTGCAGAATTTATAATTTGACTCAAGGTAAAATGAGAGAGTAAAGAGAACAGGTTCTGACTTATAGAAGACACTGAAATTATCCAATAAAATAATTCTCTACATGGAAATATTCTCCAATGCATTCTCTACCCCTGAGAAAAGAAAGTGGCGTAAGATCCACAATATCAGTGTATATATAATACTTTTCTGGATGATAAACTATAAAACTGAGAGCATAAACACAAACATGTAAATTTTTGAGTTCTCAATTTCCATCATACAGAATCAGTTGCGAATATTTTTCAGATAAAGACATGTTGAGTTAGAAGGGACCTTTAAAATATTAAGGTGTACAATAAACTGAGGATCCTGTTAATGCAGATTATTTTTTCAGAAGATCTAGAATAAAGTCTGAGTTTCTAAGTTTCTAACAAACTCATCAGTAATGCCAATGATTTTGGCCCAAAAAGACTATTTGTCAAACATCCAGTAAGTGGAGAAGTCTGTGTTTTTTTCTAGTTTTTCTGGCCAGTAAACAAAGAGCTTTCATTTTCAAAAGACAGATAAATGCAAAGAAAACCTAAGAAAGAAGAGCAGCTGCCAGATTAAATGTGATGGTTTACGTACATCAGTTGCATAAAGATTCTTAAAAATATGGCCGGGTGTGGTGGCTCACACCTGTAATCACAGCACTTTGGGAGGCTGAGGCGGGTGGATCATCTGAGCTGGGAGTTCGAGACCACCTGGCCAATATAGTGAAATCCCATCTTTACTAAAAATATAAAAAATTAGCTGGGCGTGGTGGCAGGCGCCTGTAATCCCAGCTACTAAGGAGGCTGAAGCAGGAGCATCCCTAGAATCCAGGAGGTGGAGGTTGCAGGGAGCCGAGATTGTGCCATTGCACTCCAGCCTGGGCAAAAGAGCAACACTCCGTTTCAAAAAAAAAAAAAAAAGAAAAAAAAGAAAAAACAGTTGATAACGTGAATTAGGGAGAAGAAGGTGGCATTTGTGAATGTCAGAAAAAAAGGAAAATTTAGTTTTCTTCTTTTTTTTCCAGAGGGAGTTGCGCTCTGTGGCCCAGGCTGGAGTACTATGCGATCTCGACTCACTGCAAACTCCGCCTCCTGAGATCAAGCGATTCTCCTGCCTCCCAAGTAACTGCGATTACAGGCGCCCGTCACCACAACTGGCTGATTTTTTGTTTGTGTTTTTTGAGACGGAGTCTCGCTCTGTTGCCCAGGCTGGAGTGCAGTGGCGCAATCTGGGCTCACTGCAACTTCCGCCTCCTGGGTTCAAGACATTCTCCTGCCTCAGCCTCTCGAGTAGCTGAGACTACAGGCACGCACCACCATGCCCAGCTAATTTTTGTATTTTTAGTAGAGACGGGGTTTCACTGTTAGCCAGGCTGGTCTCGAACTCCTCACCTCGTGATCCACCCGCCTCAGCCTCCCAAAGTGCTGGGATTACAGACGTGAGCCACTGTGCCCAGACTGAAAATTTAGTATTTTACTCAAACCCATTAGGCTGCAGGAATAGGGAGTTGGGTGTAGACTTCAGATCCTGCTTGAAACATATGAGAAAAATGCAGAGGAAAATCACTCTTCTGTGGAGTGTGAAAATAATTACGTGGCAGGCAATTAGACTGAGATCGCGCTAATGTCAAGGTTTCTACCTTATAAAAATCTAACTCAAATGTGTATTTTGTAAATTACTACACTGAGGAAAACAAAATTCAGGCTTAAACAACTATAAACTGCCAATTAACCCGAAATTTCCACCTTATATATATAAAATCAGGAAATTTCCACCTTAATCATACAAACTAAAAAACTATATAACTCTACCTAACAAATTATTGAATTTGGTTTTCTTCATCATGCACCTTCTAAAAGTCTTTCCCGGCCGAGCGCAGTGGCTCATGCCTGTAATCCTAGCACTTCAGGAGGCCGAGGCGGGCGGACTGCCGAGCTCAGGAGTTGGAGACCAGCCTGGGCAACACTGTGAAATCCAGTCTCTACTGAAATAGAAAAAATCAGCCCAGCATGGTGCTGCGCGCCTGTAGTTCCAAGCTACTCAGGAGGCTGAAGCAGGAGAATCGCTTGAACCCGGAAGAGGGAGGCTGCAGTGACCCCAGATCGCATCACTGCACTCCAGCCTGGACGACAGACCAAGACAACGTCTCAAAAAAAAAAAAAAAAAAAAGGCCGGGCGCGGTGGCTCAAGCCTGTAATCCCAGCACTTTGGGAGGCCGAGACGGGTGGATCACAAGGTCAGGAGATCGAGACCATCCTGGCTAACACAGTGAAACCCCGTCTCTACTAAAAAATACAAAAAACTAGCCGGGCGAGCTGGCGGGCGCCTGTGGTCCCAGCTACTCGGGAGGCTGAGGCAGGAGAATGGCGTGAACCCGGGAGGCGGAGCTTGCAGTGAGCTGAGATCCGGCCACTGCACTCCAGCCTGGGCGACAGAGCGAGACTCCGTCTCAAAAAAAAAAAAAAAAAGTCTTTCCTTCATTCTCCATGGACCACGAACTACAAACCATTGCTGGGCGCTCTACAGTCTTAAATTACTCTTTGATTAAATTATTTAATATTTTTGTGGTGACTTATGTGTGTGTGTATATATGTTTTTGAGACAGAGTCTCACTACAATGCCCAGGCTGGAGTGCAATGGAGCGATCTCGGCTCACTACATACTCCGCCTCCTGGGTTCCAGCTATTCTTCTGTCTCAGCCTCCCGAGTAGCTGGGATTACAAGCGCGCGCCACCACGCCCAGCTAATTTTTGTATTTTCGGTAAAGACGAGGTTCACCATATTGGCCAGGCTGCTCTCAAATTCTTGACCTGGTCATCCGCCCGCCTGGGCCTCCCAAAGTGCTAGGATTACAGGCGGGACCCACTGCGCCCGGCCGACTCTCCTAAGTTTCTAATAGACGAAAAAATGGATTGGAAACGCCACGGACCCAAGCTCTTACTATTCATGAAACTGCATCACCAGTCAGGATTCTCCCCTGACTACCCTCCCGTGGTCCCCGCACAATCTGGGAGAGACGCCGCGTTGCGGCTGCGGAGCTGCCCACAGAGGGCTCCAGGCCGGGACACAGTCACTGCGCAGGGAAGAGACAGGACGCCCGGGCCCGGCTGTCAGCGCAGCCGCCATCTTACGACTGAAGGGGACTGAGACTGAGCTGGGCAAGAACTCCAGCCGCGCAGATTGTGGAGCTAACTGCAGGGAGGCCTGAGTCGCGCCACGGCCCCTTCCCCCTCTCAGGATGTCGGACCCGGCACTCACCATTTCTAGGCTTCCGGAGGGTCCTGGCGTCTTTAGCTGTGGATCCCCCAATACCTGCAGGTCACAGGGCCACAGAGGATCCGCCCCTAGGAGCAGAGGACACAGAAGAGTGAAGACGAAACACGGAGCTCCGACTGCACCCAGAGACAAAGGCCCCGCCACATCCCGGAAGCCGCCCTGTCCGCCTCTGCCGCGTGCCTGATTGGACGGTTTCCAGCCCAGCGTCCCTGATTGGACAACTTCTAAGGTCCTGCCCCCTCAAACCCTGAGTGAAGGAAGATGTGATCAGACGCTGGACTGAATGAGGAAAGAGTGACAGCCTAGGCTGCAGCCTTTTCAGGCAGGGCTTCCTCCCTGAGCTGAGCAGGCCCACCCCAGAGGGTATCTGCTTTTAACGTTGTGTATAAGGTCATACGCACTTATAAATAATATACTATATGGCTACTAAAAAATGAAAATAATTGTTTTTAAATTTCAGCTTTTATGACCTTCCTGGCTTCTGGTCCTTTGAGTAGGAAGCATTACATTGAATATTTTATTATTGATTCTCTGTGGGTTTTTTTTGTTTTGTTTTGTTTTTTCTTTTTCTTGAAAGGGAGTCTCTGCTACCCAGGCTGGAGTGCAGTGGCATGACTGCAGCTCACTGCAGCCTCAGCAATCCAGGCTGGAGCAAGCTGGGACGACTGGCAGGTGCCCCCATGTTCAGCTAATTTGTTATTATATTTTTATTTGTAGAGATGAAGCCTCACTGTGTAGTCCAAACTGGTCTCAAACTCTTGGGCTCAATGAATCCTACAAACTCAGCCTCCCAAAGTACTGGGATTATAGGCATGAACCATCACATTCAGACTGAGTTTTTATTTTTATATCAAAAATTTTTTTTAAAGCATTGAGGTCCATTAATAGAATTCAAGGAAATGTTATGCATATTTTTAAAAAATTAAAAAGCACATGCAAAAAGAGAAAGAAAATTTTAAAAAACCTAAGTATTATACAGGTAATATTACCAGAAAGAGAAAAGTTTAGATTTCCTGACTTTTAAGTTGCAGTATGCTAATGGAATATTCTTAGTGGACAGTATTCTATTTTCATAAGAAATTCAAAAACAGATAATTTCCAGGTTTTGGAAACTGATGCAAAACATAAAAATATAGAAAATCTCTAACGTCTTCCCATGATATAGTATTACTTGAAATATAAACTGGGCAAACTCAGCAAAAGACAATTTAATCTCAAGTTTCAAAACAGGTACAGAAGTTCTAATAGAATAAATGGAATCCAGAATTTTATTAAATAATGTTGGTATATATATGTATTGTGAGCATAAATGTAACTGAAGATGAAAAATCTGTTGTTTTAATTACATAAAAAGGTTAAAAAGTGACCATTCTCTGTGATTTTGAAAGCAGGAATTGTCTAGACAGATGTGTATTTGCATCTACATTTGCCTATACTTACATTTATATATCTATTCTTTTTTCTTTTTTTTTTTTTTTTGTTTTGAGACGGAGTCTCGCTCTGCCACCCAGGCTGGAGTGCAGTGGCGCGATCTCAGCTCACTGCAAGCTCCACCTCCTGGGTTCGCGCCATTCTCCTGCCTCAGCCTCCCGACTAGCTGGGACTACAGGCACCCGCCACCTCGCCCGGCTAGTTTTTGTATTTTTTAGTAGAGACGGGTTTCACCGTGTTAGCCAGGATGGTCTCGATATCCTGACCTCATGATCCGCCCGTCTCGGCCTCCCAAAGTGCTGGGATTACAGGCTTGAGCCACCGCGCCCGGCCTCCTTTTTCTTTTTTTTGAGACAGAGTCTTGCTCTGCCAGCCAGGCTGGAGTGCAGTGGCACGATCTTGGCTCACTGTAACCTCTGCCTCCTGGGTTCAAGTGATTCTCCTGACTCAGCCTTCCAAGTAGCTGGGACTACAGGCACATGCCCCCATGCCCAGCTAATTTTTTATATTTTTAGTAGAGACAGGGTTTCACCCTGTTAGCCAGGATGGTCTCGATCTCCTGACCTGGTGAACTGCCCACCTCGGCCTCCCAAAGTGCTGGGATTACAGGTTTGAGCCACCGCACCCGGCAGCTTTTAAACATTTTAGGAAAGCATGAGACATCAATCAATATGTGTAAGATGTATATTGGTTTGATCCAGTAATGCAGGACAACTTGAGGTGGGGGCTTCCAAGTCATAAGTAAGTAAGAGATAAAAAGCTGGATTATTTTGAGTCCTTGATAAGCATTCAAGTGAATACAGTTTATTCTGGCTCAGTGAATCTACATATCTAAATTAACAACAGTGCAGAGGAAGCAATTGGATGTACATTTGTCTCAGGCTAGGCTCAGAGAAATGACTTTTGAGTTCTGTCTGTAGTCTGTTCTCAAGGAATTTCCTTGTTGGCTAACTGTAAAGAAGGTATGTAGCTTTTTTTTTTTATCTTTGTAGCTATCTTATTTAGAAATAAAATGGGAGGCAGGTTTGCCTGACATAGTTCCCAGCTTGACTTTTCTAGTGGCTTAGTAATTTTGGCATCAAGAGATTAATTTTCCTTTAACAATGGAAACCTCTTTCATTATCAAGTGTAGAGAATTAAAAAACTCATAAATGCAAATATAATTATTGCTACATCTTTCAGAATAGCCCATCCTACATTTTTTTTTTTTTTTTTTTTTTTTTTGAGATGCAGTCTCGCTCTATCGCCCAGGCTGGAGTGCGGTGGCACAATCTCAGCTCACTGCAACCTCCACCTCTTGGGTTCAAGCGATTCCCCTGCCTCAGCCTCCTGAGTAGCTGGGATTACAGGCGTGCGCTACCACGCCTGGCTAATTGTTGTATTTTTAGTAGAGATGGGGCTTCCCCATGCTGGCCAGGCTGGTCTCAAACTCCTGACCTCAGGTGATTCGCCCGCCTTGGCCTCCCAATGTGCTGGGATTATAGGAGTAAGCCACCGCACCCGGGCCAGAATAGCCCATCCTAATTTAATTATCATTTACTACAGATTTTTTTCATAATTTTATAGTGGATCTTAATGTTGGAGGCATTCAAACCAGAGCAACTCAATCCTGAATAGCAGCTGTGTGAAATATGCTAAAACCTACTTGGCTGCATCCCCAGGTTTGGCATTCTTAGTCACAGGATGAGATAGGAGGTCAGCACAAGATACATTGCACTCAGCAATTTGCCATAATCTCTGTTAGCAGGGTGCAGGAAGAAACAAAGAATCACATATTTAGGTCATGGATACAGAGATATGTCACAAAGCTCCTGTGGTTAGGGTCAAGAAAGAAGCTTCCCATCCCCTAGATGTTGGTCTCAGCAATATATCACAATACCCAAATTATGTGAGACCCAGGAAAAAAGGACAGTCACATCACCTAGGTGTTGGGTCCAGTGATATTTCACAATTATCCTTTGTAGCAGGTTCTAGTCAAAAAAGGAGCGTCGCAACACTTAAGTGACAAAGAAAAAAGAATATGTCATAATACCTTTCTGAACAGAGCCCATGCAGGAGACTCATAATACCTAGGTGTTGGACCCAGCCATACATATCACAATACAAAATGTATGCAGAGATCAGGCAAAAAAAAAAAAAAAAAAGAGTCACATCTTGGGCAGAACCAAGGCAGAAGACAGTCACATCACCTAGGTTCTGGGTCCATAAACGTCACAATACCCTCTGAGAAAACAGCTTTGGCAGAAGACTCACATCATCTAGGTGAAAGGAACAGAGATGTCACAATGTCCCATGTGTAGGACTCAAAAAAAAAAAAAAAAAAACCACTAAGATCACATAACCCAAGAGCTGGGTGCAGCTACATATCACAAGCACCCCAGTGGACAAGGCCAAAGTATGAGAAAAGAGTCACATTGGTCAGGAGACCGAGACCATCCTGGCTAACCTGGTGAAACCCTGTCTCTACCAAAAAAATACAGAAAACTAGCCGAGCGAGGTGGCGGGCGCCTGTAGTCCCAGCTACTCGGGAGGCTGAGGCAGGAGAATGGCGTAAACCCGGGAGGCGGAGCTTGCAGTGAGCTGAGATCCGGCCACTGCACTCCAGCCTGGGCGACAGAGTGAGACTCCGTCTCAAAAAAAAAAAAAAGAATCACATCACATAAGTGCTGGACTAAGTGATATGTTACAATCCAAACTGTGAACACATCCCAAGAAGAAGAGGAGTCACATCATCTAAGTAATGGGCCCAGAGATAATTCAAAGTAACCCCTGTGGAGAGGAACCAGGCAGAAGAATCACATAGCCCGTGTGCTAATCCCAGCGATAAGTCACTCTCTTTTATGGGAGCATGGCCATAGCAGGAAGGAAGAAGGAACACATTATTTAGGTTCTGGGCCCAAATATATGTCACAATCTTCTCCTATAGGGAAAAGCCAGGTAAGAAAGTCACATTACATAGATGATGGGTTCACAAATATGTCACCATGCCCACTATGGGCAGGAGGCTCACATTACCTTAGTTTTGGGCCAAACAATGTCACAATGCCTGATGAGGAAAGTGCTGAGGAAAAATGTAACACGGTTTTGTACTTAGCCCAGCAGTATGTCAAAATCTACATTGTGAGCAGAATGTAGGTAGAAAAAGAAGCATCACAACAGCTAGATGCTGGGCCCAGTGATAGGGAATAATTCTTTCTGTGAGCAGCAACCTGGTAGAAAGAGAGTTGCATTACCTGGGTGATGGGTGCACAGCTAGATTATAATGCTTCCTGCAAGCAGGACCCAGCAAGGAAAGTTACATCACCTGGATGTTGCATATAGCAATGTCACAATGGCCCAAGAAGGCAGGGCACAGGCAGGAGTCACATAACCAGGGTGTGGAGTTCAATGATGTGTCACACTGCCCCCCTGTGGGCAGTGCTGAGGCAAAAGTACAGTCACACCACCTAGGTGTTGGATTCAGCAATGTGTCACAATCCGATCTGTGCACTAGGTACCAGGCAGGAGAGTCAAATCACGCAGGTGCTCGGCAAAGGTATATGTCACAATCACAGTCGCAAAAAAAATGTGCGAATGAACAATCCCACACATCCCATTTCTAAGTATTAGAGTCAACACATTTTGTATGTTGAGTCCAAGTACAGGAGTCACAATCTCAATGGTGGACTAGATACATGCATGAGAGCCTCAGTCTTTGCTGTGGACCGTGTCCCTTAGTGGAGTCACAGCCTCACAGATATGCTGGATCTTGGATTGAGAGTCACCAGCTCACGTGTGAACCCAATCCACATTTGAGTCAATTTTCCAACCACCTCCAGGTGTGAGATTCAGAACTTCAACAGTGAGCTGTGTTCATGTGGAAAGTTGTTCATTTTTACTGTTGGCTGGGTGTGCACATGAGTGTCACAATGTCACCTGCGTGCTAGGCCCTGTTACAGAACTCTCTGTACCACCTGAGGGCTTTATACAATATCCATGATAGTCACAATCTGCTCTGAGACTTTTTTTCTAATACAAACTCATAATGATACCTGTGGACCTAGGCTCATGCATTAGAGTCAACATCTCTCCAATCAGCTGGGTCTAGAGAAGAGTTCTCACCTGCCTATGAGTTGGGTTTAGAAATGAATCACCAGCTTAACTGTTGTCACATGATTACATGACAGTCACAATTTTTACTGTGGACTCCATTCACGTGTGAAATTCAGGATCTCTCCAATGGGTTCTGTCCATGTGTGAGGGTGACGATGCTAACATTTGGTAGGTTGTACATTGCAGAAACAGTCTCACCTGTGTGCTTGGCCCTATGATAACACTCTCTGTACTGTCCAAAGACTTTATACAAAATGTGAAGGAACGGTAATCCTTTGTTCTTACCTAGAGAAAACTCAGGACTTCACCCATTTCTCTAAGTCTAGCTACCAGCACCAGTATCTCTGCTATTGACTGGTTTGTGGTATGAGTATCATCATCGCAACTGTGAACTGGGCTAAAGTGTATGTCACAATCTAACCTGTGAGT